ATGTAGTAGTTAAGATACTATTATGGGACTTGGGAGACGTCCTGCTGCAGATTTTCCAGTCTGATTGTGGGCTAATCACACAGCCTATGGTTCCGTGACAATTTAAACCAATGGAGATTGGTATCGGTTTAACTGCTTTTCTCCTGTTTCTTGACCATGTCTGGTCCCAGGTTGAACCGATGTTTAACTTGCTTGTGAATCCCTTGGTTCTGTGATTTGTTTGTGGTCATCTAAGTTCCCAGAAGAAGCTCCCTGGAGGTGCTAGGACCGTAGGACTATAGTAAGGGGATTTATTCGTTATAGTTTAAATGACTTTGGTGAAACTAACATGAAAACCAATAGGAAATGCCCAGAATATTGGGGAATGCCACACAATCAGACTTGTGGTGTGATGCAGTTTTTTGGGATGTTGGTTTCGGGTGTTTTTTTCCTCTGATGGGAAGAACAATGTTTTGCCTCGTGTCTTTATGGAAACACTCAGGGTAAAGATCTTAACATACAAGGCATTTTGCTATTATAATATGGGAATGTTTTTGAGAAAATAAGTTTTTCCAGAAGCAGTGGTAGCAAAACCAACGATCTTTATGACATGGCAGCATTTTCTGGGAACTAGTTTTAGCAACTTCTCAGCGTGATCCTGAACGTCACTGTCCCAAGGAATTCTGTTTAGGACTGGAAATACAATGGCCTGTCTTAAGGACAAAACAGGAGGAAGGTGCTCAGATACTTTCTCAGTTTTAGATACATAACTCCTACGTTGTCCTGATCCACTGTATTCTGTGGAATTTATTGCACTGTTGTGTGGAAAAAAATGTGTGAAATATTGAAAACTATATATTCTTAATAAGAGTCTGACAAACTATCAGGCCAGTAATATTTAAAAAAAAATCTGTTAGGAGTTTCATAGTAAAGTTCAGCTAAATCTGATGCTTTTGTCTATTAAATTGTGAGTGGTCATCACTGCTTTAATAATTAAAAGTCCATCTTGGTTCACCCAAATTTTAAACAGCTCAAGTTTATGTTTATTCGTGTAAATTTTGTTATTTGACTCTGTTTCTGCAAATAATCTGAGGGTTTTAGTAACATGTCTCTTGATACTTGTCCTCAATGTTACTTATTAGCTTTTTGCCTTTTTCTCTTTCCAGTAAGTTAAGAATCAATATTGATATTACAGTTGCCATGAGGTGTCAATGTAAGTATTCTATCAGTGAAAGTTTTGAAACATTTTAAAGGCTCTTCAGAGTGTGCATTTGCTTGCAATATAGTTCGATATTGTTCAAAATATTCTAACAGTGAGATTTCTTCTGATCTTGATGGTATATAGTGATCTTGGTGGTATATGACTGACTGAAAGAATTTGTAAGAGATGTGAAGAAAAGTGTTTATGCCATCTCATTCACATCTCGCAGAACTTTTTTTTTT